TGAGACCATACCTAATTCATCTAACCAAACGAAGAGAGGAGTTACGTAAACGAGGTATGATATCTCAACAACCTCCGTTAAATATGCACATTCATTCTATAAAACCAGGGGATAAGGTACTAATTAAAACTTGGAAGGAATCCCCACTAATCCCTCGTTGGGAAGGACCCTATCTTGTTTTACTCACCATAGAAACCGCCATCCGGACGGCAGAGAAGGGTTGGACTCATGTGAGCCGTGTAAAAGGACCTATCAGAGACTCAGACCAGTCTTGCGAAGTTGTGAGCCCACCTGGAGATCTGAAAGTCACCCTCAAGAAGGTTTAAATGGACATAAAGGGGACTGGGATATGTAATAACAATAATAACACTTTAAGATTGGTGTGAAATCGGTTGTCTGTAAGAGTGCCAAGAACGGTGGTAATCGAATACATTAAGTTATATATATATAAATAGAATATATCAAAATATTACTCCAAAAGGAACCAGGTAAGGGAACTGTGTGAACGGAGGCAAACACCAGAAATAGCACTCCCTCTCCTGAAGACTACCCCTGCTGCCGAGAAGATGTTATCCCTCGTGGCTTGAAGCAACCGAGTCGACGAACAAGGTAGAGAGGTAAAATACTGTGGAGAACTGACTCTTGTCATTAGAGCTATACGGGAGTACTGGAAGAACCGCCTCAATGCCCAAAGGGACTTGAAAGTCCCTTATAAAAAGTATATCCAAGGTTCTAATTGGAGGGATAATACTGGTATAATTGATCCAAAAATATTAACAACAAAAAAATGGAAAAGATTCCACCCTTTTTGGCACATCGTAGACATACTGCATATTCTATTTATAATATGTATACCACAAACATGGGCTAAGGGAATGAACTACCAACCCCACCAACCGTTTAAGTGGACCTTACTCCAATTTGAGGACCAACAGGTTATCGCAACCCAAATAACACCGGGAGAACCAAGCTTTAATGCTACCCTATGTCAGCTTGTCCCAAGACCCCGATGCTGGGAATACCTGGGATTTTGTATGTGCCCTAGTTCGAATCCTGGAAAGGGATATTGTAACTACCCTAATCAATATTACTGCAGTTATTGGGGTTGTGAGACTATAGCCCCTGGTTGGATACCGGGTAGTGGTATAGACAGGTACCTAAAGGTTCAGTGGGGTCCATATGGGTGCAGACCACCACAAGGGTGGGGAGGACGTGGAAATTGCAAATACCTCTTCTTAAATGTCACCAGCCCTGAAGACGTAGGATGGTTAATTGGAAGAGTGTGGGGAGTGAGGTATACGGAACCAGGGACAGATAAGGGTGGTTTAATTCTCATAAAAAACGAAGTGGTCCCAAATGATCCACTGCCAGTAGGCCCTAACCAGATACTAACTGATGATTTGGCTGAAGGAACAATGGATAGTACAACAAGAATTCCTAAAATAGACAATATAACGATAACTCCTGAAATGAAGATTACTCGAGTCACCCAAACTCCTGATGAAACCCTTGGGAATAACCCAACCCCTAACGAAACCCCTGAAATTAATCCCCTTTGGAAGTTAATGCATGCTAGTTACTTGGTGTTGAACAAAACCAATCCAAATCTCACGGAACACTGTTGGTTGTGTTATGGGGTGAAATCACCCTTTTATGAGGCTGTTGGAGTAACTAAGAAACCTAAATGCCTAAATGGTACTAATCCGGCACAGTGTATGTGGGGCACAGAAAAAAAACAGGAATCACCTTAACCCAAGTGATGGGAAAAGGCCTGTGTATAGGAAAAATTCCAGAGCACAAAAAGAGGTTATGTGCCAATTCTGATAAAATAGGGTCAAAAAGACCTGAGAAACCTGCAAAATGGTTAGTACCAGCTGATAACACCAAGTGGGTTTGCTCCGCTATAGGAGTTACACCTTGCCTGTCGTTAAAACATTTTAATGAATCCTCAGACTTTTGTATTCAAGTAACAATAGTCCCTAAAATTTTTATCACCCTGAGAACTTTATTTACGATGCATACATTACTCAGGGATACCACCTGACTAAACGATAGCCATTGACGGCATTAACAATAGCCACTTTAATGATCTTGGGGGGCGTGGGAGTAGGCATAGGAGTAACCTCATTGATACAACAAAGCCAAGAATTTAAAGCACTGAGGATAGCAGTAGACGAAGACCTGGTAAGAATTGAACAATCAATAACGGCCTTAGAAAAATCCATTAGATCGCTGTCAGAAGTGGTCTTACAAAACCGAAGAGGACTAGATTTACTATTTACAACAAGGAGGCGTATGTGCAGCACTTAAGGAAAAGTGCTGTGTATACACAGACCACACAGTGGTGGTACGGGATACTATGACCAAATTACGAGAAGGATTGGAAAAAAGATGAACGAGAAGCACAACGCAGCTGGTATGAATCTTGATTTAGTCAATCCTCCTGGCTTACAACCTTACTGTCAACAATAGCAGGTCCCCTGATACCAATTATATTGGGATTAACATTTGGACTATGTATTTTTAATAAAATATTAGAAATTGCACGAGGTAGACTCAAAGCAGCTCACCTAATGCTGATAGGAACGAAATACGAACCTGTAGAACAAGAAAATTCATTGCTGTTAAGCCAAGATGTGTTACAACGATTTGATGAACAAAAATGATGAAAAGAAAAAGGGGGGAATTGTAATGTGTGGGGTTTGTTCATCAAGAAGTTTGGGGAGAGGGAGGCTCTCTGTGGCTGTCCTTATGTGAAACAATACTCCTTTTTGACTCTGTAACTGTTGTACTCTGTAAGTAATGAGGGGGTGGTCAGTTGTATTGTTGCACAGGATTGTGAGAGAGAAAAGGGGGCTGGGTGGCTCGAAGTGGTGTCTTGTTGCAATGCTTGAGGGGAGGGGGCTCCGACGGTGAGGAGGCTGGCAGTGGACACTGCTCGAGCTTCTCGAAACTTCCCAAAACTTCCTGGTAATGAGATCCCTGCAACAAAGGGAGCCAATGGGGAAGAGCCATGTCAACATCTGAGTGAGGAGGGGCGACAGGATTGGCTGGGACCTTGAACCGAAAAAGATAAAGGACCATCTCCCGGGGACCACGTGTGCGCGTCTTGGGCGGAGCGGAGGACTCCTTGGCACACCCATTGCTGTTTTATCTGCTATCGCTTACTCAGTTTAATAAAATTTATACTTTAAACCAAAATTGGCTACAATATTGATAACAAAACTACAACCAACACTGCAGTAGGAAGAAGTGGATGAGCACCGTGATCACTGTGACACTGGTAAATTTCAGGATTTTATAAGGTAAATTTCCCAGTGTGGTGGACTTTCCTTCTATTCCAGATTATGCCATATTTATTTACAATTCACCAAAGTAAATTAAAACTATAAAGTTATTACCAGATGTTACATTCACAGTTACTTTAAAAGAGAACTTAATGTTGTGATGTGTATCATAATATATCATTATTTAGAAGTTACCTAAACATCTGTCCTGAAACTGGTATTTAGAGGACCTTACAGAGTTATCTGGGGAACATTTGGAATTATGTTCCAGATAATAAAAAAACGCTCTACCGCTAACCATCACAGTTCAGCTGATAGGCACAAAGTTCTCAGTACCGTATTCAGCTGTAACTGGTCTTTCCTGTGCGAAGCCATTATAATAGTAGTCTTACCTTCATATATTCTGATGTCAGTTACACCACTTTAGCTCTGCATGTCTAACAACCTTAACTGAAACTTTTTTATGCTAGTTGAAGTTTTTCAATTTAACAAGTTGAAATAGTGCTTTTTATTACTGCATTTCCACTTGTGGCAGTAAAGATGCTGCCATCTAGGTCCAGCTTACTCAAAATGTGTTTTGAAACAGTACAACTAGCCAGACATCACACAGCAAGGGATTTATCCAGTAAAAAACATGTAGATTAGAAAGTGTCAGTAAAATTCCTGTTTTGCCATAAAAGTGTTTCAAGATGTTGAAAATCAATTCTTTACTTAAATCAAAACCCATGGTTTGGAGAAATATTAGGTTCTTCCTGACTTGAGAACAGGACTTGGATGTCCTAAAGGTGTTCTTCAGAAGAAGGTAATGTCCTTCCCAAAAGAGATGCAGTAGCAAAGGGGGGGGGAAGGGGGGGAATTCTAGATCTTAGCTCTAGAATTAGAGATAATTTAATTCTAAAATTAATTCCAAAGTAATAGATATGGTTTATTAAATAGTTTCAGTTGAGCTTTGTCTTAGATTTTTGAAATCTAAAATAATTAATAGAGATTGAAACAGCAAGGACTTATTCCTCTGACTTTATTTCCATGCTGAGGCAATTCTGCATGTTGGTAACGTTACAGTAGGATTGAGAGAGTGTTTTACATACTTGTTTTGCAAATGCATAGTCCAAACATAGCGTATTTCTTTCTCCAGCTGTGCTGCTTCATTAAATATTCCATTTGACTATTCCGTATGCCCCACAGTAGAAGTTTCGCTAACAGCATTCATTTGCTTTATTCATACACTAGTTATTATTTTCCTATTTTGCTGTGTAAATAATGACTACATCTTACATTGTTAATTTTACAGTTTGGGGTAGAGAAATTCCTCCTTTACTTTTCACAACCACCTTACAGCTTCATCCTTTCAAGCCAGAAGGCTGCCTTACTTTAGAGCTTAGCCTTTAAAACTTAGGTTTTAAAAGTTGCTTGCTCTGTCAAAACCATTCTTTAAATCATGATGTTACTATTAATTACAGGTGGACAGATCTCTGCCTGTCCTGCTCATCCTGCCTGCTGATGGCAAGACCAGAATCCAACAGACCCTTGTTTCTGCAGATTGGTTGATCTGTGAATTGCTTACTTTCCCCCCTGCTTCTACTTCTAACTCAGCCAGCAGGTTCACAACTTGAGCCAATCTGCACCTGTCAGATGGCCTCATCCATCTCACTTGTGCTCAAGCAGCCACAGGGGCTCATTAAAAACTAACCCAGAAAATAACTTCTGTTTCAGAGACTGGATCAATTGGCTGAAGGATCATGCTACATACTGGATCATTATACCAGATGGGTCATTACTAAACCACCTGCTGTGGGTATGTCAAGATGATGAGAGCACATTTTATAAAATGTCAGAAATGGACAGAATGTGTGCATTCACTGACAGATCAGTAACCCACTTTCTATTACAGTAAATAAAATGTTTGAGATGACATTTCTATTTGAACAAGGTAATACACTAAGCCAGATACACAGATCTTCACATCCAGAAGTTTGGTCTGCCCAATTTGTAGAAGGGGCTGCAACCACGTGGATGTTCCATTGTAGCATTATGTTAACTGCGTCACAGTAGCAAATCTTTGCAAACAAAATTTTGGGAATAAGTACCTTCTAATATAATCCTGTATCTGGCAGAAATTGCAACGACAAGAAATGAGCCAGCATTCAATCTGCAGAGCTGAAAGATTACAATGTCCTCATGCCAGAGTGAGCCTTAAAACATCAGCTTAATAGAGAGCCCCCTTCTGACTGCATTTGTAGGGTCTGTGCAGGAATAACCTGATAAAAAATGTTTCTGCAATTTAAGCAAAATATAAAAATCCTAACAAGCAATATGTGTTGAAGATGTGTAGCTTGTGCAAAACAGGTATCCCACAAGTCTACTAACATAAAAGATATTGCAACATAGCTATTATTGGTGTCTCACTACAGATCAGGTAACCTGCAACACACTTCAGAGGTTCACCCTATTAAGACAATTTGCATGTCTATATTCATACAATTCTAGAAAGCCATCATGTGGGAAAACACAGAGAGAAGCAGCACCTAAAAAATGAAAATGCCATAGAGCCAAGATAAATGCATAAACAGCTCAAGTTTTGTAACTGAACATATTATTAGAACAAGTTAGTAAAAAGTATTTTAGGTGAGGAAAGGCATCTTCAGGTCCACATTACAATAATCTGAAAACTAAAGCTTCAGTTCCACCACCAAAGTCTAATTGCTGGCTGGTTGCACACTTGTGGTTCATTAGAAATACTTCGTCATAGGTAGTAGAAAAAGGAGTATGAACTGTGTGGAGTAAGCGAAGGAGTCCAAACCCGTGACAGATTCCAAACAGCTTAAATGAGAAAGAGGTAAATTTGGCATAGAGTTAAGGGTAAAAAACCCAAAACGCAACCAAACATTTAAAGGTTGTAAAAAGGGAAGTAACAGTAGGATAGAACAAGATTTTACTGTATTGCAGTATTACTCAAGCAAGAGATTTAACCCATAGTACCTATGTACAGAACATCACTGGTTGCATGGATAGCAACCTAACAAAAAACTCTGAAGCTGACAAAGCACTCGGATTTTTTTGCCTTAATTTTAATCCTGAAGGAATTACTGTGGTTATTGGTTCCTCTCATCATTTTCATGTATTTGAGATAACCATATTTTTCAGACTACCAGTCTGTAGCTGTCTAGTATTGGGCTACTCCCTTACCTCCCCACCCTAAGCTCACAAAGGTCTAAATGTTTCCTGTTTCTTGAAAGATGCTTCTCTGGCTCACTAGCACTTTAATTTTTGTGGCGGTGGATGGGAATGTATTGATAATTTTACTCCAGGAAATATACTAAAGACACTGCAGCAACAGAGAAGACCACCTAGTAAACCACAGTGCCTGAAAGGGCCCAAATGCCACAGGCACTCAACCTGGGATACTTTTGTTTCTGGGCTACATGCACTACATATGACAAAACGAAAAAAAAATGAGTTTTAATCCTTTCCCTTCTACTAACCCTTAACACACAGTAAAAGTGATAGGGAAAAAGCTACAGAAACGGAGACAAGGAAGCTTTTGACAAATAGATAACTGATGTCCAGAGTAAGAACCTATGTTGGTTTATACCATTTATTTTTATGTATTTAAAAGAATTAAGCAGCAACATTTAATCTGAAAAACTGCCATTTTAGGAAGGACATACTTGCTTCACATTGTAACCTGGTGTTGCAGATATGAAGTCTGACCACCGCCCATCTACCTTTCCATCAAATTACAAAACTTTTGTAATGCTTTTACCAATAGCTGGCATAAAGTTTCCCACATTACTGGTTTTATAGTAAAAGTAGCTTTCAGTGTTGTTTTATAGCGATTTAAAAGTATACTAAAAGTATTTACAGATGACAGCTTTAATGACAGCTTGCAGAAAACTTTTCCTCAGCCCTGGAGCACACCAAAGCAGCAGAGTAAACACAGGATCCCCATTTCAAGGTATTTCCAAGCAAGAATAAGGATTCCTTTATAGAAATTAGGTTTCCAGACATTCTTATGTAGGTATTGAGGTAGTATTTACTTTTTCAATTTATTTTGTGTGTCTTCTGAGTTTTACTCTGGCAGTAGCTAAAAGTTACTATTAGGAAGCGTTTGTAAACTTTACACATTTTCTGCTACTAAGTTTCCTTTCATAAAGTCTATTTGATCCAGATGCAGGACTTCTGTAATTGTTTCCAGCCTTGTGACCAGCATTTCTGCCAGTAATTTGGTGACATGCAGAGTTGAGGAAATATTTACAGTTAAAAGTGGCAAAGAGTCTACAAGTATTAATACAAAGACATTCTTACTTAGAAAGCAGCAATTTGGTAATTTATGCAACAATGTGTGTTAGTTTTAAGAAATACATGTATTTCTTCACTTTCAAGCAGAAAGTCAGTCACACTCCCCTTCCTTACCTGCACACCCACTGTTTTCCTTCGGCTTTTGAATTTATGTAAGAGAAGAGCCCTGGTTACACAGAAGTCATCAGTTTCTCATATTCAGGTCTGGGTAAGTTCCAGGGCAGCTACTTGGTCCAACAATGCTGCTTTTTGGAATAAAAATCCACCTGGAATACCTTGTATTATGGATTCATTTTTGTCCCAGAATGTTTTAAAGATACTTTTCTAGGTATCCGCTATCCTAAGTTCAACTGAAAAGCTTATTTTCTACTTCAGCATACTGAAAGAGTAGGTTTGACAATCTATCAAAGAGCAGTGTTCTGCTACCAAACTGCCCGAGTACACTCGATGTCACAGCTGTCATTTTAAAAGGGAAACATCTGAGTTGCTTCCAATGAAGACCTAATTCCACTGCTTAGTAACATCAGAGGCTAAAATTTACTCATCTTCATATGTAGGCAGAAAACTTGGTGACTTCCACTGCAGCAGCATTGTACTCCTAAGTAACTCTGCTTTCTTGAAGTTAATCTGATCAGTATTTCTGAAGTCTTTTAAGTTATTTGTTGGCATCCCAAGCAAGTCCCCTTTCCCCAACACTGTAACTACATTACCCCAAAATGCAACTTTGGGGAAAAAAGCCACTGGACAAACTAGCTTCAGTTTTGCTCCTGAAGAACTCAGAATACCGCCACCCTGTGTACACCAAAATGTTTAACCCTTCCAAACTAACAAACAATTGGATCTGCTGTGAAGCAGGTGATGAGAATTTTCCACACCAAAAAAACCCAGGCCAACAAAACCACCACCAACCATGTAAGAAAGTACAGGCTGCAGCTAGAACAGCATTAGCTTAAGGTAATTTGGTCGATGAGAAACTTAACATGAGCCGGCTTCAGTGTGTGCTCGCCGCCCAGAAAGCCAACCGTATCCTGGGCTGCATCAAGAGGAGCGTGACCAGCAGGTCGAAGGAGGTGATCCTGCCCCTCTACTCTGCTCTCGTGAGACCTCACCTGGAGTATTGTGTGCAGTTCTGGTGTCCTCAACATAAAAAGGACATGGAACTGTTGGAACAAGTCCAGAGGAGGGGCACAAGATTGATCAGGGGACTGGAGCACCTCCCATATGAAGACAGGCTGAGAAAGTTGGGGCTGTTCAGCCTGGAGAAGAGAAGGCTGCGTGGAGACCTCATAGCAGCCTTCCAGTTATCTGAAGGGGGCCTTATACAGATGCTGGGGAGGGACTCTTCATTAGGGACTGTAGTGATAGGACAAGGGGTAATGGGTTAAAACTTAAACAGGGGAAGTCTAGATTGGATATAACGAGGAAGTTTTTTACTGGTAGGGTGGTGAGGCACTGGAATAGGTTGCCCAGGGAGGTTGTGAATGCTCCATCCCTGGCGGTGTTCAAGGCCAGGTTGGACAGAGCCTTGGGTGACACAGTTTAAGTGTGAGGTGTCCCTGCCCATGGCAGGGGGGTTGAGAACTAAATGATCTTAAGGTCATTTCCAATCCTAACTATTATATGATTCTAATTATATCAAGGGAAGTGCCAAAACACCTTGCCGTAGTGTTTTGTGTTTGTTTTTGAAATACGGAAGTTGCAACGAACATCTGCTTTCCTCTTATCCCTAACAAGAAAGGATTCTAACAGTGAAGCTGTTTTCTACAGTACATCTTTCACAAAGATACTTTAGTGTTATGACAGTAATTGCAACTCCCTTAAAACTACCATTTTTACATCCTTTAAGGGTTCCCTACATTCTACATGAAAGCAGCCCTAATGTACTGAACACATACTATATAATTAGGTGAATTAGTTATTTCTTAATATTTATACCAAGCCAGTTATTTACCTCAAGCCTACATAACATACTGCAACACACATTGATACTTAGCAGGCAAAAAAAACCCACAAAAACTCAAGACAAGATTCAGAAGAGTGTCTGTCTTCAAATGATCTTTCACACCTTTTGATGAGAACTGGAGTGTATACACAAAGACACACCAAATACAACTGGGTTGCAAGTTTTAATGTTTATTTCCCCAAGACAGCCTAGCCTGCACTCTACTCAGATAAATTTCACAAGCTAGTTTCCGCTGCTTCTAGTTTTAAACTTTAACCATGTTTCTGATGACAAGGAATGCTGCAAAAATACTCTAGTCCAACAAAGAGTTATGATCACAAAATAATCTTTATCCATTCTACAGTGTTTCAGAATTACCAGTTGATTTTAAAACACAAGGTAGATATAGATGCTAATGGTGGCTAATCTGGTACATTTTATTATAGCAAACTGTTGTTCATGCAACACTTGTGCTCAAAGGGGAAGGCACAGCATTTCCTACAATGAGCCACCTTATAAAGAGTTCATTTTGTACAAATTTGTAACATCACCTTTAATTTAGTGTGCAGAACCTCAAAACTGAGGCAGTATTCCAATTATAAAAACACTTGCATCCTTTTTGTGCAAGTTTTAAAAATACAAAGTTTTCTCTCTAAAGTGGCTCAAAATAGATTGTTCACGGCTGCCTACATCTAAGATAAAAAGAGTCTAAAACAATTGGATTAGGCATAGTAAAGGTGTTCAAACCATGACTTGATTTGTACATCTATTCACACCTCTTTTTCGGTCTTTATTCGGCAGTACATATGCACCAAATTTCATTTTTAGAAGTTTCCATATCATTTTCATAGAAAACAAAGTTTGAAAACAAGTAACATTGAAACACAGCACAGTATTATTCTACCACAACAGAAACATTTGGTTACAGGACTCAACAAAATCTAAAAATGAACTATGCTGTAGATTACCACATGCAAAGGTCTTCATGTTATCTTTGAAAATGAAAAGGATGAGATTTTATTACCACATTTTACTGCTTCCTATTATTATGGCAACTTGTGTACTGCAACA